GAGATGTTGAAAGTGGCAGGCGAGCTCTTGCACCTTGGCTAGGTATTTGGCCATCCTTTGTTCTTTGGCCTCGTACTCACCATTGACTTGGTTCACCACCAACTGAGAGTTCCTGAAGACCTCAATGTCTTTGGAGTCGAGGTCTTTTGCAAGATGCAATTTGGGGAGTAGGGCTTCGTACTCGGCTTCGTTGTTGGATGCAAAGAAGTCAAACATTAACGTGTATTCTACTTTGGTGTTGTCCAGGATGAGGAGTATGATGCCAGCTCCACTTCCCTTGGAGTTGGATGATTCGTCGACGAACAACTTGGCTAAAGGTGCATTCTGCCACGAATAGGGCTTGTGCTTTGATTGTGGGCGTTGGCTAGTATTGCAGATCAAATTCAGACAGCTCGACGACCCACTTGATTAGTCGTCTCGAGGCCTTAGGTTTGGCAAGAATGACTTTTAGGGGTTGATTGGTCAAGACTGTAATAGTGTTAGCTTGAAAATACAACTTGAGTTTCCTAGTCGAGACCACCAAGGCGAAGGCCAACTTCTCCACCTCAGGATATCGGGTCTCACTATCATAGAGAACCTTGCCGACGTAGTAGATTGGTCTCCGAACTCCATCTTATCTAATCAATACCAAGCTGATGACCTCATCCCCAGCTGAGAGGTATAAGTACAAGATATCTCCTAGAAGTGGCCGAGTGAGGAGGGGAGGTGAGGCAAGGTAGGATTTCTACTCTCCAAAGGTGTGTTGACATTCTTTCGTCCATTAGAAGTCTTTCAATTTCTTGATGGCACGGAAGAATGGTAGACATTGGTTGGCCGAGTTTGACATGAAGCGGCTGAGGGCAGCCACTTGGTTGGTAAGTCTTTGGGTCTCCTTGACTAATAGAAGTGGTGCCATATCTAGAATATATCAGATCTTTTCTAGGTGGGTTTCTTTTCCTCGTTGTGTGTCGACGAAGCTTAGGAACTTGCCTGATGTGATGTCGAAGGTACACTTGCTAGGATTGAGCTTCATGTTATATTTCCACAATGTGTTAAAGGACTCGACTAAGTCCACAGTGTGTTGGTTGGCTCTCAGGCTTTTCACCACCATGTCGTCCACATAGGCTGATAGGTGGCCATGGTGTTCTTGAGGCTAAAAGGTATGACATTGTGACAATATGTACTGTGCTCGATCGGTGATGAACAAGGTCTTCTTTTCGTCTTTGGGGTCCATCTTGATCTAATTGTATCCAAAGAAGGCATCCATGAAGCTGAGTAGCTTGTACTCTACGGTGGCGTTGATGAGGTGGTCTATCCTTGGCAAAAGAAAACTATCTTTGGGGCAGGCTTAGTTGAGGTCTCTCGGATGAAGCCGATGTTGAGTAGCTTGTCAACTTCCTCTCCTATAGCCTTCCAATGGTCTAATGCAAAGTTCTTTGTTCTTTGCTGAACTGGCCTAGAGTTCAAGTCCATGCTCAACTAGTTCGAATAGGCTCTCTTAGGGAAGGTTAGACTCGACACAGACTGTCTTCTCGAGCTTGGCCTCGTCTAGGGGTCTGGGATGAGGTCCCGGCTGGTTGGCCATAGTTCGCTGGTTCCTCTCTGAGGACCAGACCCTCAAGTGGCAGGGCTTCCTTGTTCTTACCCTTCAGTACTGCCACATAGCATTGACGAACGGCTTGTTGATCCCCCCCAGTGATTTCGACACCATGCTCAGTGGGGAATTTGAGGGCGAGGTGGTAGGAGGAGATGGCTGCCTTGAGTGCATGGAGGGTCGGCCACCCGATAATGGCATTGTAGGGGGAGCTGATCCTCACGACCCGGAACCCGTTCATCCTCATCACCTACTGAGGCCCTATCCCTACTGTGATGGGTAGGGTGATTCTTCCTTCCAGCTTGACCACGTTGCCAGAGAAGCCGACGAGTGGCACATTGGTGGGGTGAAAGCGTTTGGGCGCCAGCTTCATCTTTTCAAATGCATTGTAGAAGAGGATGTCGGCCGAGGAGCCACTGTCTACTAGAATCCTCTTCACCATAAAATTTGCTACGATGGCCGAAATCATGAGTGCGTCGTCATGGGGGACTGAGCCCCTTCATGTCCTTGTTTGTGAACATAAGGGCTTCTTCTTGCTTCGATTTCTTGGGAGTAGGTCCTTAGATATTCAGTTTCCTAGTGTAGGCCTTGCGGGCCGAGGCCTAGGCTCCACTCGAGGCCATGCCCCCTATGATGACATCTATGACGACAACTAGTTGTTGGTGTTGCTATTGCTACGAGGACTTGGCACCAGCTTTGCTCCCCCACGTACTGCTTGAGGTGGCCGCAACAGATGAGGGACTCTGTTTCATTTTTCAACTCATAGCAGTCCTCGGTGTCGTGGCCGATGCCGTAGTGGTACTTGTAGTACTTTTTTGGATTCCCTTCTTGGGATTCCTCTTCATCTTCATTGGCCACTTCATGTACTCCTCTTTCTCCACCTGCATGAGAATCCACGTCCGGGTGGAGTTGAGTGGCATATATTGGTTGTAATTGTTGTCTTTGTTGTTGTTATTGTTGTTTCATTTGTTTCCATTACTTTTCTTCTTCTCTGAGCCTCCGTGATGGAGGTCGACCTCTCTTTCCTGATGGTCACCGGTCGAGGCCTCCTTAGTAGTGATGTACTTTTGAGCCTTCTTAAGAAATTCTGCCTTGGACTTTAGTGGGGTCTTGGCTACCGAGCACTTGAGGGTCGAGCTGAGTAGGAGGTCGTTGATGGTGGCGTGTATGGAGACCATGGGGTCGAGGTCTCGAAACTTGAGCTCTTCTTTCTTGAAGCGGTCGATGTAGGACCGCAGAATCTCGCCGCGCTTTTGTTTGATGACCATCAGGGAAATGATGCTCTTCTAGCATCACTTGCTACTGATGAAGTGGATGAGGAAGAGGCTAGCGAATTGCTCCCACGAACCAACGGAGCGAAGAGGGAACCTGGAGAACCATTAGCGGGCTGCCCCCTTGAAGGTCGCCTGGAAAGTTTGGCACATTAGGGTGTTGGAGTATCCATAAAGGAGCATGGGTATCTTGAAACTTTCCAGGTGGTCGTCCCATTGGGGGAGAGGCTCGGAGATGATGTTCAAGGTGAAGGCATCCATCCTCTTGGATACTCTTTTGGCCAAGGCTTCATCTCGGCTTTCTCTAACTTGGCGGAGCTCGTCCTTGATGGCTCCAAGTTGCGCTTGCAAGTCAACAATTCTTTGATCGAGGGGGCCTAGCCCCATCCCGGTCCTTGTGGACTCGATGGGGGTTGGCCCGACTCCCTGAATACTTTGATGCGGGCCCATGTTTGTTCCTTTTGGCCGGTCTATCATTCAAGAGGTCTTGGAGATCCGAGACGTGAGAGGAAGAGACGCAACGTCGGCCCTTGGGAGGGGGCTGTGGTGGCTTGATCGCTCCCCTTTGTCCCAGGAATTATCTCTTCGGTGGTGGTGATGATGTTCTTGGTCTTAGCAATGGTCGCGAGACTATGCGGATTCTTCCCCTCTTCGGCTAGGGGGGTCGTGAGGTCCTTTGTGGCTGATTGGCGCGTTGGCTACTATTAGACTCTAAGGGGTCACCCCTGTTGGATCCGACTAGGCCGATGGCTAAGGGGTCTGGAGACACACGCTCGCCATTGTGCCCCAGGCTACCAGCGGGGTGGCCACCCTGAGGTTGGCCTTTTGCCGAGCGACCCAACTCATCTAGTCTCTTGCTGAGGTTGTTGAGCTTGTCGAGGACCATTTGAAGTTGGTCCCTTGTGACTAGATTCTGAGGGTTCCTAGTATTTCTTGCCATGTCAGCTGAAGCTTAGGCTTATGAGTTGATTCTTTTAGATTTAAAGGAAATTTGATTGAGAGAAGTCTTAGCGACGTTCCCATAGACGACGCCAATTGTTGCCAGCCAAAATGGGTTGAGGGCAACACTGTAAATTCGCTCCCAAGTGGAGGTGTTGTTGAGTGGTCCAGGGTCCGAGATGGTCGAGGACTGGTAGGCTGGTCATACACAGAGTAAAGGAGGGAGAACGTTAGAGGCCTTGGGTTGATACCTGAGGCGGAGACTCTGACGGTCAAGTTAGTACTAGGAGAGGTGTAAGGTGGACAAGGCGTGAGGTGTGAACACTTAAACGAGGCCACAAAGGAAGCTAAGGGTTCTCAAGTTCTTGTTTTTGAGTCTAAGTTTTAGTCCTTTACCTTGAGGGGGTTGTCTCCTATTTATATTTGAGGTCACTTAGAAGTAGGTGAGCTCGGACGGCTTGGATGCCGTTCATACACAAGAAGCACGATCAACCGAGATTGCTACATGACTCCGCGCTATTGGTTCTGAAAAGCCCATCAAGCTTAGTTCTACACACCTTAATTGGGTCCACTCTGAACACCACTGCCTAACACATGTAGGCCCGCTATTGGGCAAGGCCACATGCGCCTACATCAGGTGTCAAAGGAGTTAACTTCTAATAAATATTGCAGGCTTAGAACCCTAGTAGATAGTGCATTGAGAGATGCAAAAGTTTCATTCAAAGATTTGGACGAAGTGATACTTGTTGGTGGATCAAGTATTGCGTAAATGTTGATGAAATTGTTGCTATTGGGGCAATAGTTCAGGTCAGTTTTTATTATTTTCTAGATTGTTGAGATAAATTTTAGGAGAATAGATTATTGGGAAGGTATGGGTAAAAGAGAAAAATTTTAGATAATTTTTATGAGGAACAAGAAAATCTCATTATTTTTTTAAAAAATGACATGAAATAAAAATAAAAAATAAAAAAAAGAGAAAATTTATTCGCTCCCTTATTCACTCCGTGCATTTTAAGGGTGCCACTCGCAGCTAGTAATGCGTAGGTGTGATTGTGTGCTTCCATTTTCCATTTTCCATTTTCGGATAGATGCCAATCCATCGTACCACAATGGGGCGGGGCCCTTCCCATCCATGATTGTTAGAGATCTTTCTAGAAACAGATTACGTGGCAACACCTAACCCTCTCTATCTCCATTATAACCTTCTCTACTCTTCCCTCATCTTCTTCGAAGTCGAAAACCAGAACCAGCCATTAGCGCTGAAGCATCCATCCCTTCTTTATCTTCCTCAGCTTCTTGCGTTAGGGTTAGGGTTTATTAGCTCTTCTTTCAGAGCTTGATTTCTGTCTTAAACCTAAACCTAACTTCTTCGTTCGAATTCAATCTCTCTCTCTCTCTGTCTCTTTGCCAAAACCCTATTATAAATACCAAGTTAGGCTACTTTGAGGAATCCTCGTCGACAATGGCGTCTGCGGCTCAAATTCACATTCTCGGCGGTTCTGCGTTTCCATCCCCTTCGACAAAGTCCGGTGTTGGGAATGGAAGGCCTTCAAGAACTGTTTTCTTCGGACAGGGATTAAATGGCAGCGGCGCTTCGTTTGGGATTCCACAGTCGGCTTTCCTGAAACTTAAGAGAAATAGCAGGAGAGAATATGCAGTTGGTCCTGTTCGGGTTGTAAGCGAGAAGGTTGTCGGTATTGACCTTGGGACGACGAACTCAGCAGTGGCGGCGATGGAAGGTGGGAAGCCGACAATTGTTACTAATGCTGAGGGTCAAAGAACGACGCCTTCGGTCGTTGCGTACACGAAGAACGGAGACCGACTTGTAGGGCAGATTGCGAAGAGGCAGGCGGTTGTGAATCCGGAGAACACTTTCTTCTCTGTGAAGAGGTTTATTGGAAGGAAAATGTCTGAGGTAGATGAGGAATCGAAGCAGGTTTCCTATAGAGTGGTGAGAGATGAGAACGGTAATGTCAAGCTTGAGTGCCCAGCCATCGGCAAACAGTTTGCTGCCGAGGAGATTTCGGCGCAGGTTTCTCCCCTCTCTCCCCCTCTCTTTCCTGTCACAGTAGCACTCTATTCCGCGCTATTCTTTCTCAATTCTTACCACTCTGGTATATCTAATTCTTTTTCGTGTTTGAACTGCATTTGTTATACTTCAAGCTTATTTTTGCATGCGTTTTCTTTGGTTGTAGCATTATTTTGGAATTGTTTTCTTTCTCGCATTTTAGTGACTTTAACTATAAGAAAAATGATTTTGACTGCCGCTAGAAGTCCTAAAACTGCCGCTAAAAAATCGCTAAGGTTCTAGCGGCAATTTTAGCGACTGCCGGTAAAATGCAGAAAACTGCCGCCAAATGGTAAGACCGAATGCCGCTATAAGTTTATAGTGGCAGCAACAATTTTTTCTAGTGACAGTCCCCCGATTGCTGCTAAATCTCTATTATTTTTTTTACACCTACTAAAACAACATGGAATTTGTTATAGATAACCTCTAATTTAATTTGTAATTGGCTACAACTCTCAATTATTAAATAAACTTGTAATTTTATTCATCCAAATTAAAATTCAATACAAAATAGCTTGTTTTGACAACCTTTGGAACTTTAATCATACACGAATGGAAAAAAAGAAAATTTATTCTGATTAGTCCATGTGCATAGTACACTACAGTCTTTGAACTCTCTCTCTTTTTGTCTTCTCATGTACAGAGTAGTAAGTAGACAAAATCCTTGAGCTCTGGATGATTTCTCAAAAATCTAACAAAATCCTTTCTTCTGAAATATTCAACCGGGGTCTCCTGTGAAATAGCCCATCTAGATTCTAAATCCTTATGGTCCCTCACCTTATTAGCAAACAACCGAAACACATCCTTTTTGGCACCTTACTTTTGCAACAAGAATATTATGAACAAATTAGTAAATCTGTATTAACAAAGCAACCAAAATACTGCATTTAAAGAATTATTCTCAGTTCAGTCAGCCACAACACATTTTTATTAAATATTCTCAACTCATAAAACAATCTTGAGAAAAAGGTTATTCTCAGTCTAGCATTGTAGAGCTTCTCCAATATTTGAATAAAAAAAGAAACCCAACTTCCCCATATGCAGTAACCAACATTTTCTTTTACATTTTATGTACAGATGAACGAAGAAGATTAGAGCTGGTTTTCTAATACCCATCATGAAGAAGAGTGAAATATTCATGCACCCAAAATTTAAAAACAAAATGGGTTATTTTAGTCTGTGTGAAAGGTGATGAAACAAAATAGTAGTTTCAATTTTCAGACATACCCTGAAGAGAATAGAAAGACAAATACTTTACTCTTCAGAAACACAACATGGAAAAATCAGAATAAGGATTTTACCTCCATAAAAACAACCAAGGACAGATTTCAATACAGAGATTGAGCTGGGACAGTCCAGCCTTGAACCCTAATCTTTTCAGATATTACTGACAGGGAAGGGACCCCAAGACTATTCAGCATTATTTTTCTTCTCCTCCACCTTTACTCTCTCTCGATCTACAACTACTCCATCCTAGGGTGGTATATATTTCTTCCCAGGGGAACTAGGGGGACAAAACCTGTAGAGGTGGTCCAAGGGTCAATGTTTCAGCCCTGCAATTCCTCAGAGACTGAATGGTAATGTCCAAACCTTGAGGGTAACTTGCTATCAGCCCATCCACTGATTTCCAAACCTATAAAACCACCACCTAGCTTAGTTTTTCCAAAGCCTGGGTCCTAAGATAGACAGAGGTAGCTGAAAGTTTGCTGAACAAGTCTAGTGATAAGAACAAAACTAAGGTGAACTACCCTATGGTTTAAATCTGAACCCAAAACCTGGGCAACCCTAACCCGCAACCATTCAAGATTAAAACTAGTCTTGAGATTGCAAGACCTTTTCTTTATTAAAAATCCAAATTGGGTTCAACACAAGATTGTCTAGCCTGGGTAACAACTCTGAGATCTAGCAATTAGGAAAATGATTTTAGAAAGGCATTGGTCTAAACATGTATCAGAATGGAAAAGATATTAATACACTTCTTGAAATACCAATGTCATAGCAAATTACAAGATGAAAACATACTTATGTAAACCCAAGAGTGCTGATATATATGAAAGATGAATCTGTCAAATTCTGTTGCCTATAAAAAAAAAACAAAACAAAAAGATTAGAGGATTTGAATGGGCCACATAGAGCCTGATTTTTGGCCAGTTGATCTAGCCATCTTCCAGTTATTTCTATTTTCACTTTTCAGATATTTGTCATAGTCTTTATCACCCCTCTATATCATTTGAACAATATATGAGCAATAAGATGGTAATAGAAAATATAGAAAAAATTCATTCTTTTGGAGATAGAATATACTAGCAATTCCTTCAGAGCAAGAATTTGCAGTTTCAATAGCTTCATCACTTGATACCTAGAAATTACACAAATATCATAAGATAATAAATAGTAAATCAAATATTATGCAGAAGTAGAAACTACATTGATGAATTATAGGAAAACGAAAACGAAATTATACTGCAGTTCAAGGGCCTCCATGGCAGCCAAAGGACCATGACCAAGTTATTCTGTCCATGGATCCTAGGACAGTACAAGATTATAAGATGAGTGCTTTAACCCTATCCAACCTGAAGCTTACAATCTACTGATTACAAGCTCATGAGGACCTTGTAACCCCACTAACTCATTAACAAAGGGTTAATATCTCATGGGGGTTATTTAGCAATCAATCAACTTTACGTCAATGTCTTTTGCTTAATATGAAGATAAATTCACATGTTCACTAAAAAGATCACAAAGGTTTTAAAGGTTTACATGAAGAATATCAACACATTTTTCTAAAGTTCTCAAATTTCAAAGTAATCTTGGTCTTGCTAATGTCAATTACCATACCTAGCAGAAGTGGGTCACCATCCTTGTGTAGCTCTTTTTCTGGTATGAACTATCTAATTATAACATAAACAGTGAAAGACCCATTAACTACCTACTAGCTAATTTAAGGCCTTGAATCCCAATCAATCTTGTATTCCAACATGAAACCGAAAATTGGAAGATAAGCAGGTGGTATGAATGGAGATTCAAGGGGTTGAGGCAAGAAGAAATTTTTTGTGCGACTGTTTGGTGGGAAGATTCTGGTGGAGGGTAGGGGTTCAAGAGGTGGAAAGATGGGAAGCAGAGCCTGGAAGGAGGTGGGGGGAGTGAGGGTGAAGAAGCTGGTGGACGAGCTTTTTCTCTTCATCTTTCTTTCTAGATCCGATGCAAAATGGATTCTTGATAATGGACCATGCAAATGGGGAGAAATCCACTCCTTGATTGGTGAGGAGCTAGTGCAGATTGCTTCTATTTGGAATCGAGTGAGGATTTTGATCGTTTGAATTCTACCTGGATCAGGGTGTTTGGTTTGCCTCTGCTTCTCTGGTGTCCGAGTGTGAGCAAAGTGATTGGGGATGCATGTGGAGGGTTCCTAGAAACAAACGATTCTCCTATTGAGTTGGCTACGTGTGAATGGATTGGAATGAAGGTGAGGAAGGGCGATATGATCCCTGATAAGGGCGATATGATCCCAGATAGAAGATAAAGCTCAAAAGGAGAGAACGAGTTTGGTTGTTTCTAAGACAGTTGTCTTAGAAGATGTTGGTGAGAGCTCTTTGCCGCAAGAACCTCTGAGAAATGGCCAACTTTGAGTCATCTCGTCGATGAGGTCACCGGAGATCAGTGGAGAGGAAGAAGGGAATCTTGGCCTTAACCTGAACCGTTCAATTTTGGAACTAATGGAGGGCCAAGATTTCATCTGAAGAGATTGTCTTGAGGGAAGTGCTTCTTTTTCGAAGATGGGGAATATTGGGGGAGGTGCGATGGTTGAAGAAATAAAGAATTTAATTAGAGAATGTTTAAAAGAAATGCACGTGGCGCCCATGGAGGAGAATTCGTTGAGCAAGTTTAAAGAGGCCAAACAACCATAAGGGATTGGGGATTGTGTATGTGTGGTTTTCCCGAAACGAGTCTAGGACCTCGAGATGGGTCAAAATAACCCAAATACTCGACCCACCCATGAGCTTAGAAGAAATAAACTTACAAAATCTGCTAGTGAACCAAGGTGGTCCAATGGCAAGCAGATACTGTGCAACCCAGTCCGGTTGGAGCTGGTGTGGCTTAGCCAACCTCTTATGCAAACTGAGAGGAGGGAGCTCGAGACTTCAGTACAACTGTTTTCTCAGTCTCTTGACGCTGAAAACCGAGGTGATAGCCAGGATGGTGCGACTTACCCCTCTCGTCATTGATCATTCTGGGCTGGCGAGTTCGTCAGAGGTAGATCATCGATGACAACAACAAAATTTTCTTCCCATGGTGCCTGTGAATGCCAAACTGTTGGAGGTGACGCCGCTAGTAGTGATGGATTTAGAGGGTCAAAATGAAAATTTGGCGGACAGTCTTGAGCAACCCAAAATGCTGAAGAAAAGAGATTGAAGCCCTGTTGCGATGAAATGAAGTGAAGATAATCATCAGAAAGAAATTAAGGACAAAACAAATTTCGTGGTAGGTCAGGAAGGTAAGTCGAGTAACAATTCTATTAAATCTTCCTCTTGGGTTACATTAAAGCTATTGGGTCTAGGGAATTTTCTGGGGGGTTTCTATTGGAGGGGATGGAAGCAGAAATAGTAAAGTTTTTGGAAGAGATTGAGCAAAGAATTCTTATGGAGAGGGGACAAATGGCGGCAAAAAAGGTGGGACAAATTTGAAGAGAAATAAGGAAATGATGAGACTAACATGGGGCTTGAATGATAAGGTGGGGAGCAATGAAGGGGCAGTAAGGGGGTCAAAGAAAATTTGAGACGGGGGGTGGTTGTTTTCTCGATTAGTTCTATCTATGGATTTAAGAATTTTATCCTAGAGTGTAAGAGGCCTGGGGTCGGGTAGAAGAAGAATGGTGGTTTGTGATTCTTTGAAGATGTCGAAATCGAAGATAGTACTGCTTCAAGAAACAAAGTTGGAGAAAATAGATGCTGGTATTATTCAAAGTATTTGGGGGGAAGGTCAGGTTAGATGGAAGGCAAAGACAACTACTGGGAGTGCAGGGGGGCTTTTGTGTCTTTGGGATCCCTCTTTATGTAGCCTAATTTCTTGTAGCATTGGGAAATTCTCAATTTCTTTAGTCTTGAAGCTTCAAGATGTTAATATTATCCAAATCAGAAATGTTTATGGGTCTCAGGGTGGGCTTTTGGGAGGAGTTATCAGATATGAGAGGCTCTTTGACCCATCCTTGGGATTGGTAAGGAGTGGAAGAATTAGGTTGATGAGGCAGTTTGCAGATTTTATCAATAATATGGAACTTATGGAATCCCTATTCAAGGTCACAGATTCAGCTGGACCAATAATCAAGAAAACCCCACCCTTGTGAGGTTGGACAGATTCTTGGTTTCTTCAAAACTGGGATGATATCTTTCCTGACTTTAGGCAGATTACCCTTCCCAGACCTGTTTCCGATCACAGTCCTATCTAACTAATATGTGGTCATAGGGAGAAAATCAAAGCTCCTTTTAAATTTGAAAATGTTTGGTATGAGGAAGACAATCTTATTCCTTTGATGAATTCTGTGTGGGAAGATATTCAGGTGGAGGGATCAAGTTCTTTTATCCTGGCAAAAAAACTGTGTACTATCAAAAGAATATTAAAAATTTGGAGTTTGGAGAAAAAGTTAAGTTTGGGGATTGAAAAAAAAGCTGAAGAGATTGATAGAGCTGAAGAAATGGGTCCAATTTCTGAAGAGTTGAGGCTGAAAAGATCCCAAGCAAAAAATAGCTTTGACAAATTGGTTGTGAAAGAGGAAATTAAGTGGAGACAAAGAGCTAAAACCACTTGGTTAAAGAAGGGTGACAAAAACACGTATTTCTTTCACAAAATGGCAAATGCCCAAGCTAGAGCTTCATCTATCAATAAGTTGGTGTGGGAAGATAGGAGCAGGGACTCAGATAGAGAGATTCAATTAGTAGCAGCTTCCTTTTATGAAAAGCTCTATAAGGAAAATTGGATGTATAGACCCTTTCCTTCTAATCTTCCTTTCAGGCAGCTGAATGAAAATCAGAAATTTTGGCTTGAGAGACCTTTTACAGAAGAGGAAATTAGTTCTGCAATTAAGAAATTAGAAGGAGATAAATCGCCTGGGCCGGATGATCTCACAAACCTTTTCTATATGAAATGTTGGAATTTTGTGAAAGAAGACTTGATGAAAGTGTTCCGGACGTTTCATTCAAATGCCTCTCTGCAAAGAAGCTTGAATGCCACATTTATAATCCTCATTCCAAAAATTGATGGGGTTGTGAACATTAAGGATTTTAGGCCAATCAGCCTCCTGCACAGTTTTTATAAAATCTTGGCTAAAGTTCTGGCAGAAAGAATGAAAAGGGTGTTAGGCAGTGTAATCTCCAATAACCAGAGTGCTTTTGTGCCAAGGAGGCAGATGGTAGACTCAATTCTAATTGCCAATGAGTTAACTGATTCCAGAAGAAGAGAGGGAACCCCGGGTGTGATTTGTGAACTTGATATTGAGAAAGCTTATGATTTCATCAACTGGAATTATCTGGATCGTGTGTTAGATAGTATGAATTTTGGACAGAAATGGAGAAACTGGATCAGAGTTTGTATTAAGACCCCAAAATTTTCAATCCTAATTAACAATCAATTACGGAGTTTTTTTGTAGCTCTAGGGGTCTGAGGCAGGGAGATCCTCTGTCCCCTTTGTTGTTCATCTGTGTCATTGGAAATTCTCACACTTTTTAGCAAGAAGGCTGCAGAATCTGGTTTATGGAATGGGTTTGCAATCTCTCCTGGAAAGGAGAAAGTGAATATCCTCCGATTTGCAGATGATACCCTATATTTTGTGGATGCTTCTATGACTCAATTGGATTCAGTTCTTAGGATTCTGAGCTGGTTTGAAGTGGTGTCTGGCCTCAAAGTTAACCTGAGTAAAAGTAAGATCATCCCAGAGGGCCATGTTTCAAATTTAGAAGAGTGTGCAAAAGTGATGGCTTGTCAAACTGATTTCCTCCCGGTAAAGTATTTGGGAATGCCTCTCGTGGAAGGCAAAATATTTATCTTTTGGAGGTTGGGTTACATTGATTAAGAGCACCCTTTCCAACCTCCTACTTATTTCCTATCTCTTTTCCCCATCCCAAACAAAATTGCAAATAGGCTGGAGCCTCCAAAGGAATTTCTTATGGAGGGGTTGGGAAGATGAAAAGAAGATTCACATTGTAAGGTGGGGGCAAGTCTGCCTTCCTAAGAAAGTTGGTGGGCTGGGAATAAGAAAGGTGAAGGAATTTAATTCTGCCCTTCTTAGTAAATGGTTATGGAGATTTGCTTCTGAGAGGAATGCATGGTGGAGAAGTCTTACTGTGGCAAAATATGGAGTGGTCTGGGGTGATTGGAGATCTAAGGAGCCTCATCCAAATGGGGCTAAATGACCTTCCCAGTTGTGCCCTTCCAGATCTCAGGTCCAGTGCCCTTCTAGATCTTAGGTCCAGTGCCCTTAGCTAGCTAATATAGTCCCACTTCAATGAAGGTAAAGAAAACTTGATTTTTGAGAGATACATGTAAAAGAAGTAACTCCAAACCAGATTAACCACAGAAAGTTGACAACCATTGCCATGAAATGTGGTCAGGTTAGTCTGCTCATGATTGGCAGTGACAAAATTAGAAGCACTGGAGCATCTCCCCACAATTCTGTAATGATCCAACATACGGGGTTGCACCAGATAAAATGATAGGGATCACCAGGGGCAATACCCTGTCTAATGATCCAACGCTCCCAATGTCTCCCTCACACGTAGCAATATATGTACACCTTCCACTCTTAGAAGTCTGAATCAAACTGCAAATTTCACATAAAAGATAGGTATTACTCTTCAATAAAAAATAAATGAATCAACCTCTACTTATTTTGAAACTTGCATAACTGAGATAACCCACCAGAATGAGTATGAGATAGTAAAGAGAGCATAAGAACATAACATAGGGAACCAAGAACAAGGAAGGTATTGGTAAGAAAATAATGGTATATGTTATAATTTACTGATGAATTCTGGTAATTTTCTATAATTTATGCAGATTTCCTATAATTTCTAGGAATTTTCAATAATTACTGTTAACTTATGAGAAATTTGAATAGTTTCAATAATATTTGGAAATTTTTTATAATCCGACTTGGGATAACTCATTGCGGGAAAGTGGAGACTAATCACTCATATTGGGGTTAGATATGCATACACGGGCATGAACAGCTGCTAGTGTTGAAACCTCCTAGCTACAATAACAGCTGAAGCCTAACAATAAAAGGTGAGTTCACAATCTTCAATTGTTGGCAGTAGCTAGAAGAAGACAACTTAAAAAATAGTGTGGACGACACTATGAAAGTGAAATATTAACAATAAATAGGGCAAATGACGAATGGTTGCATTCTTCTTGATAAAAACCTAAAAATAGAAAGCTAGGATCTGGTTCGTTGTCCTTTGTGTCTATCACTATCATCAATTGATTAGTCTCCATTTCACTAAGAAAAAAGAATACAGATGATCTCTGAACTTCGAGGATCCCCTACTACTCGCAACTACCGGACAAAAGGAAAGGTTAAACAATTGTTTCTTTCTTGTTTTGTCAAAGTCGGATAATCAAAACTGCAATCCATTAACAAATTACAGATTTCTTATTCTTCAATAAATATTACGAGATCATAATCAGTTTTTCAATCATATTCATCGAGAGATTGAGAGAAATTACCTAATGCCAGCGTCATTGTTGGAGTAAGTGCGAGAGAGAAATATGACAGGAAGAGTGTGAGAAAGGGAAAGAGTAAGGGGAAGTAGCACCCTAATTCTGCTTGTAGCGGCAGTCTGTCCTGTCTTTAGCAGCAGTTTTAAATGACTGCCGCTATAAAATATTATTTGTAGCGGCAATCATCAATTAGCCTCTTCCAAAACTGCCGCTATTTAATCAATTTTCTTGTAGTGTTTGATATGGCTTCTTGCTTAGGATGTATGGATGTTATATTATCGGGAAAGAAGTTGCATGCAGTGATGCAGAGGGGCCAGAGTAGGAAGTTAAAACTGTGCCTGTTCTCTTTTGTTTGTTCATTTCGTCAGAGAACTATAAAGGTTTTTGATGCTGTGTTAAAAGCAACTTTCTGTGATGCCGTAACTAAGGATAAAAAGTTGAAGCTTTCATGTTAAACATGTTTTTGAGGAAGTCTTAAATGTAATAATTTAAACATTTATATTTTGTTGCTGGATGAGAAATTGAGAAAATGTTTCTGCAATAGTTTTCTGACCATTTTGCTCAAGAATGCGTTTAGCTTGTTTTGTTATTTTACGTATTCTCTAATAATTAGGAAGAAATTTGTTCTCCATCACTTCTTCTCTGAACTGCTGAAAGTAGTGCCTCAGTGTTTGTGTTGTAATCTTTCTTCTTGTGGTGAAAGTTTTCTTGGAGTTGCTATTACCATCAACTGTTATCATACTTCAAAAACTTAAATGATTATCTGCTTCTTGGTTTGCAGCATTTACTTGAGGTCCTTGGCACTGTTGTTCATGTTTGTCATTTTCTCTCGGTAAAAAAAACTTAGCCTCTTTTCTTCATCTGCAGGTATTAAGGAAACTTGTAGATGATGCATCCAAGTTTTTGAATGATAAGGTTACCAAGGCTGTAGTTACAGTACCTGCTTACTTCAATGATTCGCAAAGGACAGCAACAAAAGATGCTGGTCGGATTGCTGGTTTAGAAGTTCTCCGTATCATCAATGAACCCACTGCTGCTTCACTGGCATATGGGTTTGAAAAGAAGAACAATGAAACCATTCTAGTATTTGACCTTGGAGGTGGAACATTTGATGTATCAGGTATTAAGACTATTCCAAAACACTCCATTTCCAATTTCATTGTCATTTTAGTATGCAAAATTCCAGATTTTCTTTATATGCACCCAGGTTTCAATTTATCTATAACCTTCCGCCTATGGAATGATAGTTAAATTGAACTTTATCTTTGACTTGGTAATGTGGCATTAAAAATATTATACTGCTGTAACTATAATGTATATTTTTGCCATAAGTATCCCCATCTGACCTATGTTGGATACTCATATCTTGAGACTCCATTAAATTCTTGTTCTGCAATTTCATGAAGTACCTGTAACCTCTAAATGTGGTAGGGAAAGACAAATTAAGCTTTTCTGATGATAAAAAGGATCATATACCTTTATCTTTTTAATGTATTATTTACTCATTAAATCCTTATCTGTCCCTTGCTAAGTACTCAGATTCTGATACTTAGAAAACCTTTATGCTACAGTTCTGGAAATCATACCATTAGCATGTAATATGTATGACTGATTGATCATAAATGTATAACTTTTTCATAATTGCAGTTCTTGAAGTTGGAGATGGAGTGTTTGAGGTGTTGTCTACATCAGGAGATACACATCTGGGTGGAGATGACTTTGACAAGGTTGAGCTTATATTCTTTTTATTATTCAAATTGCAACCAATGTGGTTGTGTTTGATTTCTGATCTATTGGTTACTGAACCTGTCTGCTGTTGGTAAACACAAACAGAGAATTGTTGATTGGCTTGCTGAGAACTTCAAGAGAGATGAAGGCATAGRTCTTCTGAAGGACAAACAGGCTCTTCAGCGTCTTACTGAGACAGCTGAGAAAGCCAAGATGGAACT